CCAACTCAGTGAGTAATAAAGGTAAATAACAACTGAGCAGTAAGAAATCACGTAAAGCAAACCATCATGCTATATAGAAGCAGTGTAAAACCCTTTGAGAAAAGCAGTGAAGCTGTGAAATCTTTAGAAAATATCTTAGCTCAGTTTAAACCTCTTTTGAAGATGACTTTTTCAACAGTTACGCAATGATTGCAAAACAGTTAATGCCGATAAGTACAGAAAATCCGCCCCTCGGGCACAAATACCACAGTATAACAGCTAAAATGACAAGTAAATATGAAAGATGAACACATAAAGGTTCGCCCCTCGGGCAATATCTCAGAACAATACCAGACCCTCGGGCTCATTCTCATAACACTCTAAGCCCCTCGGGCTCTCTCTCTCTCTCTCTCTCAGATTACTCTCAGCATAGTATCATATAGTAACCGCTGCGGCGTGCAGCCCGATCCACATATCGCTGCGGCATGCAGCCCGATCCACATATCGCTGCGGCGTGCAGCCCGATCCATATATTTCATCGACGGCGCTCACTAGGGGTGTGCAGACTCCGGGAGGGGCCCCTTACGGCCCAAGCGCAATATCAAGCCATCTCGTGGCGTACAAATCTCAGGCCCTCGGCCTCATAATCAAATCAGTGTATCACCGCTGTGGCGTGCAGCCCGATCCCAAAGATATCCTCACAACACAGGCCCTCGGCCTTACTCAGTCAAAAAATCACATAAGCCTCTCGGGCAACAGTAAAATAGTATTTCTCAGCCCAAAACATCATTTAGAAATATCATTTGAAGTCTCAAAACTGAGTAAAAATGGCTGAGTTGTAAAACAGTAGATATCAACAGGACTGAGTTCAAGTAATAATTCAAAATAGTGAGGAAATAGTGATAAACATCCCCGAAGGGTTCAAATAGCTGGCACGAAGCCCAAATATGGCAATCAGCCCAAGTCATGATGATAACAAACAAGTTTTAGTCAAATACGCGATAAATTCATCAATCGGGACGGACCAAGTCTCAATCCCCAACGGTGCTCTACCCCACGCTCGCTATCCGGCGTGCAAGTCACCTCAATATAGCACTACGATGTGCAAATACGGGGTTTCAAACCCTCAGAATATCATTTACAATCATTACTCACCTCGAACCGGCGAAACCTCTAGCTCGCGACGCCTTTGCCCCTCAAATCAGCCTCCACGCGCGTCGAATCTATCCAAAATCAGAACGAATACATCACAATATGCTAAGGGAACAAAGCCCAAGCGAAAATAATCAATAACAGGCACAAATCCCGAAATTTCCAAAACCCGAGCCCGGGCCCACTTCTCGAAACTCAGAAATTTTCACATCATTAGATTCCTCATCTCCCCGCGAGTTCATACATATCAAAAGTTCTCAAATCCGACCTCAAATGGTCCTTCAAATCCCAATTCAAAAGTCCAATTTCTCAAGCCCTAGTTCTTCAATTTTAGGCTTAGATTTCATGAATTTCTAGGTGGATTTCACAATATAATCGAGTTTTAAGACCAAGATTCTTACCTCAAGTCGATTCCTCTTGAATCCCTCTTTAATTTCCGTCAAAAATCTCCAAAAACGAGCAGCCATGGGTGAAAATAGACCCACATTCGCGAACAAGATGACTTTAAAAACATTCTGCCCAGGCATATTTTTCCTCTATGCGATCGCGGGTAAAACCATGTGATCGCGATGCACAAAACTCAGCTCCCGCAAAATTACTCTATGCGATCGCAATTAACACCCTGCGAACGTGATGCTCTGCCCCTTTAACTCACTGCGGTCGCACACACACTCACGCGATCGCGAAGGCACACCACACAAGCCTATGCGATCGCAGTCCCTTATACGCGATCGCATAGAAAAAAATCATGCTGCCCCAAATAGCCCTATGCGATTGCATTCATAACCACGCGATCGCATAGAAGAACATCTGAACTGAACACCAACAGAAATTTCTGCAATTCTCCAAGTCCGAAAAGGTCCGTTTAACCACCCGAAACTCACCCGAGGCCCTCGGGACCTCAACCAAACATGCCAACATATCCCATAACATCATTCAAACTTGTTCCAATCATCAAAACACCTCAAACAACATCTAATTACCCAAAACTCATCGAATTCAAGCCTAAGTTTTCTAAAAACTTCCGAAATACTCTTTTGATCAAAAACCCGACCAAACCACGTCCGAATGACCTGAAATTTTGCACACACATACCAAATGGCATAACGAAACTACAACAACTCTTGGAATTCCCTTCCGACCCTCGGATCAAAATCTCACCTACATCCGGAAATCGCCAAAATATCAACTTCGCCAATTCAAGCCTGATTCTACTCCGAACCTCAAAATCAATTCCGATCACGCTCCTAAGTCACAAATTACGAAGCTAACCAAATCATAAAAATTCCGATCTGAGCTCATATAAAAAATAAGTCAACTCTTGGTCAAACCTTTCAAATTTAAAGCTTTCATCTGAAACTGTTTCTTTCAAATTCATTCCGATTTTTCTTGAAACCAAAACCAACGATCTTCATCAGTCATAATACATTACATGGGGCAAATCGTGTCCGAGAACTGGCGACCAAAGTGCAAAAGCTCGAAACGACCGGTCGGGTCGTTATATCAGGTGTCCACACTTTTGTGATTATTGGCTTATTGCCAACTGTATGAGGTCCAGAATACAGAATCGCATCTCTATCATCCATATTATTAAATTTTATAACAAAGTATCCTTCGTTATGGAAGTATACCATAGGTTTTGAGATAAAATTCCACTGACTAGCAACAAACCTTTCTAAAGCTCCAATTGTAGGTGTGGTTCCTACTACATATAGTATGATAACATTCCTCCATTTATCTGTTTTCTTCTCCACCTCACTCTTTGATAATTCCACTACTTTTTCCCCATTTTGAAAAATAGGAGCCACAAAGCTTAAATTCATTCCTCCGAGTCCAAAGCGGTTATTTCCCAATAGGTTTTCCCATGTCTTATTCTCAGCTCCCTTCGCTTGTGGAACCTCCAGTATCTGTTGTGTCTCCGTCACCTAGCATGTGCTGAAACCACAGATTGAGGTGTTCCTTTGTTCCGATTGCTGCTCATTTGCATAATTTCGGCTGTAATTGCACCTGAGAGTGGTGTATTAGGTACATTCCTCCGATTTGGCAATTTCGGCCAGTCTGGTTCATCTTCGTTACCTTCGCCCTCCATGCATGCTCCTGCTATACCAATCCTTTTTGCAATAGCCTCAATGGCCACTGCCGTTTTGTTGTTTGGCTTCTTCGCCGACCTTCTTTTGGCCATTTCCGATGGCTGGGCACGATAAATTCACTACCGTGCTCCTAGAGAGAGAAAGTAGAGAGAAACGAGAGAATTAGCCCGTTTTTTCGGTTTTATAAAGAAAAGATATTACTTTGACACGATAATCACTTTGACAAGATTTTATAAAACACAGGTAAAAATTAAAAATAAAATTAGTTAAGGAAAAATTAAATGTACGAATATATTATAAAAATAATAAATAAAATAATATCAAGTTATTTTAGTTATAAATATAAAACCTAGGTAAAAATATATTATATAGTATATAATATAGAATGTATTATATACATATGAAGATTTATATAATATCAAGGGCATAATAGAAACTTTTCAAGTAAAAAGATCATAAAATCTCGCAAATGTGACTTTTGTGATAACTAGAGCAAAGTAAAATGATTTTTATGTAAAAAAAAATAGTGACTTTTGAGTAATGAACACAAAGTTAAATAATTTTTACGTAACAAAAAAAAAATGACTTTTGGGTAACAAACACAAAAGTTCAATGACCACTAATAAAATTAAAAATTTTTTACCTCCTGTAGCAAAGGTTGATACCTTATTTATTTTAAATAAATACCCTTTCAAAAAATTATATTTCATAGCTACCTTTTGCTTTTTATAGCCAAATATCTATTTATGGTCACCTCCTACCCTTAAGCCATAAAATACGCTTTGTATTATTTTTCTCTCTCATTCTTTCATATTTTTCTCCACCCTGTCTCTCTCTCAACGCCAGTCTTTCTCCATGAATACAACCATGATTCTCCACTGATTCATCTCCATTGTCGAACGAAATTTTCATTGTTAGTGGCCTGGGGCTCTGAACCAACGTCGAAATCAAGCCCTAGAGAGAAAGATGGAGGTTCGAAATCTGCTATTGAAAGGAAAATTGGGGCTGACAATGAAAATTTCGTATAGCTATGTTTAGTGGTTGAAGAGTCTGTTTAGAAATCAATGTCTTATGTTTCGTAACAATGTCGAAATCTGACATAGGGTAAATTGGGGCTGACAATGGAGGTTCGAAATCTGCTATCGACGAGACGACATTAGGGTTATTCTTGAACAAAGATGACGGAGTTTGGGGCTGAGCAACTTGAAGAGTCTGTTACCTTTTTTCATTGTATTTCAATATATCTTGCTGTATTCTATGTATTTTATTGTATTCATTGTCTTTTTTTCTCCCATTGTATTTCAATGTATATCGTTGTATTCCATGTATTTCATTGTATTCACCGTTTCGCTATATTCCATGATGTATTCATATGTTTTTTTTAATTAATATAATTTATGTATTCAGATTTATAATTGAGTTTGTTGAGTTATATTAGGAGTCTATTTGTGTTAATTGATTCACTTTCCGTTTAAAAAAAGCTGAATAGACCACGATTTGCGCTATTTACGTTACTGTATTCACAAATACATATCGTGAATACAGTCGAATACAATAATAACCTAGATGTACTCCCCTGTTTCACGCCAAATTTGGCTATTGTATTCATGAATACAGTAGCTTAAATAGATCGAATAGACTTTAGCAAAATTGAAAACATAGCTATAGAAAATAATATAGTAAACGGTAGCTATAGCTAGCTAATAACCGCTATGTGAAAATTTCTCTAAAATTAACTCGTAACAATCATCCAAACTAAGGGCAAGTCAAATAGCATGTTAACATCCAATCAAATATCATCCTTAAACCCAACCCATCAGTGCGCCCAAACCCAAATGCAGAATTTCCGGATTGCTCTCAATTCGTGAAACACAAATCTATTCGAGTGCAAGCTATCTCAAGTTTCAGAAACCCTAGAAATTCGAAATGGAGAGAGAAAAATCTAGTAGGAGAGAACGAGCATCCAGAGACGACGACAACGACCGCCGCCATCGTCATCGCGACCGTTCGAAGCACCACCATCGCGACGATGAGAACCGACACCGATCCGATGATCGAAGAGGTCGCGATCGCGAAAGGCGTGGCGAGAAATCACTCGAATCGGAAGTTGTCAGAGAAAAATCTTACGATAGAGAGGATTCCGTGGAGAGAAGGCATCCGCATAGGAGGAAAGACGATAGAGAGAAACGCGAGAAATCGTATGAGAGAGAGGATTCAGTGGAGAGAAGGAATGCACATAAGAGGAAAGAGAGAGGAGAAGAGAGTGTGGATAAGAGCAATGGAGGAGATGAGAAGAGAGCTAGGGTTTCAGAGGATAAGAAGGAGGAGAGAAGAGAGAGGAGGAGATTTGATGATAAAGTGAAGGAGGAGGAAGAGGATGTGGAAATTGACGAGGAAAGGAAGGGGAAAAGATTTGAAATGAGAATTGTGAAGGAAGAACCGAAACTCGAGCCCAATGATAATGGTCATGGTGTTGGTTCCATTGATAATGTGAGTTTCTTACTGCCATGCTCTTTTTCACTAGTATATACCAAGTTGCATGCCTTTGTCTAGTGTTGATGAATACCAGTCTTTACTCAGATGAGAATTTGTTAGAGGCAAACTACTTGATTTCTTCCCATTTGTCTAAGGCGGGCAAGTTACTTGGTACCTATGCTGGCAGGAGCTAGCAGGTAGCCAGTAGAATAGCCAAGCTTGGCCCTGGCACCACCGTCATAGAAAAAGAAGAAGAAACATTTTACATTGTTATGCTTGCTTTTACCTATGTTTGTATATGTCATGCTTTGCTTCTTACTGCCAATGCCCATTGGCGGAGCCAGGAATTTATATTATGGGATTCAAAAAAGTAATGAAATGTAACACTTAGGATTTGGACCTATGGACTAAAGCAATTTTGAACCCCCTTTATAACTACAATAAATTTTCACCTTATGTTAATGGGATTCAACAGTTTATATATATGACCAAAAGTATTGCCGTGAAGGGGATACAATTTAACCCCCTTGACACAACTAGATCCGCTCCTGGCCATTCGCCTTTGTTACTGGGATACGAGGTTGCATACTTCTATATCATCTTGATGAATTACAATTCCTATTTTATGAAAAAATCTATTTTGAGTTGGGTCGCATTTTGTTTGTTGTGCTTGCTTTTGGCAATATTTGTGTATTTTTTCAACCACTTTAGATGATTTATCCTAAGCTTGTAAGGAGATTTTTGGCTTTCCATGATGTTGCATTGTGTTAGTCTAGATGTCAATACTATGCCTTTGTGATAATAGGTTTCTATTTGTCGAAGTGCTGTCATTTTGTTCTTGTTGTTGCATGAAATACTATGTGGTAGATTTGGAGTTGCAAACAGCTTTTCATCTTTCCACCATTCATGTTAGACTAGGGAGCACAGACCTCAAGAACTGCATTCATCTGTTAACTACCTTTATTATCTATTGCCATGATCAATCGTTCTTCAACCTCCTTCATCCTCCAAATCTGTCGTATCCTTCTGCTTATCTTCGTTTAGCGCTCATCTGTGGAAATATCTGCTTCTGTTTGGTGAGTGACCATAGAAACTTATCTGAACTAAAACTTTCTGTGGGATTCTTTCATCATATTGCCACCTGGTATTATTGTCAGGCTTTGTTTGGTCTCAGGTAGTAGATTGGGGAACTTATAGGAAGGATCCATGTAACTTGTTTGGTTATATCATGTTCTTTTCATTATGCTCTTATTATGTCCTAAGAAGTCTGTTGTGTGGTTTCTTTTTTATCTGATAGGGCTTAACTTGGTTAGTATGGCACTTGTTTCTCAGTTGTACTGTTCTATGGTGCATTTTATTGGTCCTTTTGTCAGGATGTTTATCCTGATTTATGCATTGGACTTCCTTATTTGCAGGGTGTGACAATGGGACCATACAATGCAGCATCGAGGACTTCCCCTGATAAATCTTTGACTCGTATTGATCCTCCTGCTACCAAGGTATCTTCAATTTCTACAACAAATGAAAATAAGGGAGTTAATATTAACAGATCTCATGCGGTTCCTGGGAAATCTAGTACAGATGGGGCAGCTTCTGATGCTGGCAAGACTGCCACCTTATCCCTTGATGCCAAAGGAAATGCAAAGGCTCTCATACAAAGGCAGAAGGAGCTGGCAGCAAAGCTTAAGAAAATTCCTTTGGTAAGTTTTTGCACCGAAAACCCACCGTATTTCTACAGTTTGCAACTCTATTCTCCTTCCCCTTTGGCTCCCTGTTCCTATCTGTTTCTTTAAGTTAGAGAAGCACGCATTATTAGACGTATACAGAAGAGCTCTAAAGAGAAAACCTTTACCTTATCAAAAGAAAAAGAAGAGCTCTAAAGAGAACGTGCTTTTGTTTTTTCTTTTCCCTCTTAGGTTGAACGGGAAGAGCTTTCTTCTTTGTTTTGTGTCAAAGGTATTAAACTACTAATTATGTGCCCTCATTTTAATTATGTAGCTAAACAAGAGTGCCAACGTTACGAGAGAGGGAAGTTCACAGATTGGTCGCAAGGATAGCCTTTATGCCGCTTCAACAGACGCAGGGATATTGCCCCCACTGGCTGCATCTTCAAATTCAGGGATATTACCCACTCCAAGTTCAGCACCTAGCACATCGACTATAGCTACTGTGGCTTCTGCAAATACACCACCCAGTGGCTTACCTCAGGTTGCGGGGCTCACAGTCACAGCACAGAACTACGATAAAGTGAAGCGTGCACACGAGCTTTTTGCTAAGATGGGATTCCGGCAGGACCCGGAGTTTCCCCCCCTCATTAACATGTTTCCTGGCCAAATGCCTCCAGAGGTTACCATTCAGCCAAAACCTGCTAGAGCCCCTGTTCTTCGTTTGGATGCATTAGGCAGGGAGATTGATGAACAGGGAAATGTGGTTAATGTGCATAAGCCATCTAGCACCCTTAAGGTACGGATTATATGTGTTCATGCCATCTTTTTTTCATGTTTCAATATTTATTAAAATTGCTTGTGTGGTGGCTTTGGGTTGTTTGTGCAGGTGAATATCAACAAGCAGAAAAAAGAAAGCTTCCAAATTCTCAAACCTGAACTTGATGTTGATCCTGATAAAAATCCTCATTTTGATCCGAGGATGGGGATTGACAAGAACAAAATTTTGAGGCCAAAGAGGATGTCATTTCAGTTTGTGGAGGAAGGTAAATGGTCCCATGATGCAGAATTAATTAAGTTAAAGGTACTTTATAATTTATCTCCCTGTTGTATTTTCGCATTCTTTTGTGATTCTCTCTTTATTCTTGTTCCTGCTCTTGATTGGATTTTTCTAATTATGCAATGCCTAATTTAGCAAAGCCAATATGGTGAATCACGAGCCAAAGAGCTGAGGGCAAAGCAAATGCAATTGGCAAAGGCAAAAGCTGAGCCTGACATAAATCCAAATCTTATTGAGGTGGCAGAGAGGGTTATCACCAAGGAAAAACCAAAGGAACCAATTCCTGATGTTGAGTGGTGGTAAGTTGATTTCAATCTCCCTTCTGTTTCACTTTCTTTTGGTTATCATGTGTTTTTCCCCTTAGTGGACCCTTAATCTGTCTTCTCACTCATTGTTGAGCCACCATTCATTAATGTGTTTAGTATCACAAATGGAAGTGGAACTTGAATACTGTTAGTCTTATGTTTAACCATGAGATGAGATTTGATTTGACTTTTGATGGTTCTGCATCCTGGGTGCTTCTAGTCTATGTACGCATCACCAAGATATGGGGATTACAGAATTTTTTTTAATTGCGGCTTATCTCCTGGATGTGATTGTGTAATCTTATCTGGCCCGCGTCCTATCTGCTGGACTTTGCACTCTCCAGATGAAGTCCCTGTGACGTGGATTCCTCTTTTTTTTTCTTTTTAATTAAAAAGTAATCCTTGCTTGTTATTTGCATACATTTGGTGTGAGATGAGTTTAAGTGGAGTAACATGGTAAGTGAGGATTCATATAGCAGGCCGCAACTTGTTTGAGATTGAGGTATGATTGTTCCTGTTTGTTGTTAATAACCCCCATTCCTTGTTTAAGAGGAATCCTTCAAAATTGACATCTGTTACTATTAGTGGAGCACATTACTGGTCTTGTGCTAGTATAATCTGATTGAAGTGACTTAACTTTGCCTTGTGTTATTCAATTTACATGATCTGGGTGTGATTTCTAATTTTCTTTTTATAGCTATCTATGCTTACCTTGTTTGAATAATCAATTTACACTAGGTAATTCTTGTTTCTTTGTTTGACCTGCCAGGGATGCTCCTCTGTTACGATCTGGTACTTATGGTGGTATGGTCGATGGTGACTTAACTGATGATATGTTGAAGATGGAGAAGATCACTATTTATGTTGAACACCCCCGCCCTATTGAGCCTCCTGCTGAACCTGCTCCACCTCCTCCACAACCATTGAAGCTGACCAAGAAGGAGCAGAAGAAACTACGTACCCAGCGCCGACTGGCCAGGGAGAAAGAAAGGCAGGAAATGATACGTCAGGGCCTGTTAGAACCACCAAAACCAAAAGTTAAAATGAGCAATCTTATGAAAGTTCTTGGCTCAGAAGCCACTCAGGATCCCACAAAGCTTGAGATGGAGATCAGAAGTGCTGCTGCTGAGCGAGAACAGGCTCACATAGACAGAAATATTGCTCGAAAGCTCACTCCTGATGAACGTCGTGAGAAGAAAGAAAGAAAACTATTTGATGATCCAAATATCGCACCGGAGACGATTGTTTCGATATACAGAGTTAATGACCTTTCACACCCTCAAACTCGCTTCAAGGTTGATGTTAATGCTCAGGAGAATCGAATGACTGGGTGTGCAGTTATCTCGGAAGGTATAAGTGTGGTGGTAGTTGAAGGTGGTAAAAAGTCCATCAAGCGGTATGGGAAACTTATGCTTAGGCGAATTGACTGGGCTGCTGCTGTTAAGAAAGAAGATGAAGACGAAGATGAAGACGAAGATAAGCCTCTCAACAAGTGTGTGTTAGTCTGGCAAGGCACTGTTGCTAAATCAAGCTTCCATAGGTTTTTTGTTCACGAGTGCAGGACTGAGGCTGCTGCTCGTAAGGTCTTTGCTGATGCTGGGGTTCCTCATTACTGGGATCTTGCTGTAAACTTCAAAGATGATGAATTTTAGGTTCTTTGGAGATTATTTGGCCATTGCTTATGATGAACTCGAATATCAGTTCAAGCTTCCTACCGAGGAAAGGCAAGGGGAATACTAGTACTCATTTTGTAGTTTCATTTTCATGAAGAGCACTTATGACTCTTCTAATGCGTTGGTGTCCATGTAACATGACTGTATCTTGGTAGCTTCTACTTGCTGTTGCTCCATCTAGTATTACTTAGTTGTGCCATCTGTTTGTTTTTGTTGCATGGAATCTATATAGAGATTAAGTGATCTCGTTTCTTGGGTATGATAGCTAATTTGAGCTGAGCTAGTGACGTAGTTTACAACCTGATACCTCTCGCAACTGAAACCAGATGATTTCTTTAGGAGATCACAGAATAGGTGAGTGGTAAATATGGTTACTCTTGTGTATGGACTTTCTTCTCCCCTTTTGTTCTGTTAGAAATCACAGAGAAAGTGTGGATATTTGTTATCAAGACTTAACCTGCTGCTGTTAAGTCTGTTATGGTTGCTTTATCACAAAAACAGTGATTGCTTTGTGTGTGATTTTTGGTCTGCTTAGTCCCTTTTTACCTTCAATTACCATGGTCCTACTCCTATGGGCTCGAAGTTGAAAAATGAATTACTTAGTTTTGTGTTCCTCTTATTGTTGGGGATGAAATGATTCTGCAATCACAGGCAGCAGATGCGTCCTGTTTTAAAGTGTTCAATTGAACCAGTATTTTCGATACAGAATATAGATATTAGGTAAAATAGACTACCAAAATTCAATAGATTTAGAATTCTGAATTTTAATTTGTTCAATGCTAAGGGATTTATGATGGATGGTGTCTCTTGTTTTGACATGTTTGGTTCCATCCTATTCATGACAAGTTGAAAATGAGTTTCGTAACAAAATACTTTTGTTTTCATAATATGGTTTACAAATGATTATATGTGAAGGTCCAGGAGAAGGATAGAAAGATAGATACCTACATTTACTTATCTAGAGTTGAATGGTTGATTATTTACTACTAATTGATTAATGAAAAAGGTTTCTTTCTATTGTAGGAATTGAAGCAAACGAGACCTACGTTTAATTAAAAAATTGACATGGAGGGCTTTGGAATTTCTGCAATTCCATTTATAAGTAGACAAATAAAATAGTACATTTTTCTCCCTTTTTATTACTTAATTATTTCTCCTCCTAACCGTCCTCTCTTTTCACCCCAATCAAACAAGGCCGAGCGCGATAAATGAAGGGGATTTTACTCTACATACCACTCTAACAAAACCCACAACGAAAAAAAAAAAAACTCTAATATTTGTTTTTTACAAATTTTAGCCAGTATACTATGTATACAATCAATATGACACATCATACACTGATTATATACTTGTTATATATTGAGTATACACCGGCGATGACTGAAATGTTAAGAATACGCTTACAGTCTGGTACCGTAACACCCCCCCCCCCCCCCTCATCCCTTCTTCCCATGTAAATTAAACTTTTTTTAGAAATTAATATTGTGATGCAATTAAGGAGAAATGAATAAATTATTAGGATAGTTGAGAGACAATTTCGTCTAAATCCATATAAACAAATATAAGAAATTTTCTATCATATAACTCTATTTCGAATCATTTGTAACAATTTGTGGCTTTATATGTGTTAATTGTGACTTGAATTAATTCCTTATATTTTTAGGAAACCCATAGTCCCTATAGGTTTAGGAAAAGCCATTGTCCTAATAGATTTGGGAAAGGAAAACCTATAGTCCTTGTCAAATTGGGAAACCATTCTCTTATATGTTTGAGACCTTTTGGGATCTATATATAGGGGTTGTAGTTGGGGATTCTAAAGATTGTATTGTGCTTTTCTTCTCATTCATAGTGAAAAACTCTCTCTGCTTTTGCCCCGAGGATTATGCTTAGCCGAACCTCGTTAAATCCTTGTGTAGATTTTTCTTCTCTATTTGCTTTGTGTGTGATTGTGTGCTAGTTAACCCACGATATTCCGCAACAATTGGTATCAGAGCAAGGTTCGGGTTTCTACATATAATCTAGGATTAAGATGTCTTCATCATCTTCAACAAAGTACGAAATAGAGAAATTTGACGGGGGTTCTAGTTTCAGTCTATGGAAGATTAGGATGAAATCGTCCCTGGTGTTACAAGGGTTTTGGAAGGCAATTGATGAGGATTTTCTTGAAGAGATGAAGGAGACAAAGAAGACAGATCTGAAGTAAAGGGCTTTGAGTGCGATCTTCATGAGTGTTACAGATAGCGTTCTTCGGGAAATTGTTGAAGAAACTTCTGCAGCAACGACATGGAAGAAGCTGGAAGACCTGTCTAAGAAATCGCTAACAAACCGCCTCTACCTGAAAAGAGGTTATACAATCTCCGTATGAATGAAGGTACACCTGTTAAAACTCACATTGATGAGTTTAATTCAATTATAATGGACATGAAGAATGTGGATATCAAAATTGAGAGTGAGGATCAGGCCTTGATTGTGTTATGTTCTGTACCACCATCTTATGATACTTTTGCCGATACGCTGCTATATGGGAAAGACATCATTTCACTAGAAGATGTTAGTAATGCACTACAATCTAAAGAGCTGAAAAAGAGCTTTCCAGACAACAGAATTGAGGGCGAGGGTCTTGTGATTAGAGGAAGAACACAACAAAAAGACTTTAACAGGAAAAAGTCAACCGCCAGATCAAAGTCTAGAGCAAGGAAGCAACACTGTTATGAGTGCGGGGAGCAAGGTCACTACAAGAGAGATTGTTCTAAGCCGAAGGAGAAAAGAGGGAAGCAGAAAATAGATAGTTAGGCGAATATTGTTGACACTGCAATAATTCTGATGATAGTGACTATGTAGGGGAAATCTGTGTTGTGAGTTCTAGTCATGGGCAGAATTCTTGGGTTCTTGATTCCGGTGCTACTTTCCACATGTGTCCACACAAGAATTGGTTTGCAACTTACAAGCAAATGAGTAGATGGGGTTGGTAACATCAAATTGAGAATGTTCGAGGAAATTATTAGAAATATTGAGTGTTGGCATGTTCCTCGGATAAAGAGAAATTTGATTTCTCTTTCGACTTTGGATGATCAAGGGTATAAATTCCACTCCGAGAATGGAATACTTAAAGTGTGTAAAGGCTCCATGGTATTCATGAAGGGTAAACTACATTCTAAATTGTATCATCTTCAGGCCAATGTAGTTGAAGGGGAAGCTGCTGTAGCTTCTGGGAAAAGTGATCTGAATCAGTCTCAATTGTGGCACTTGCGACTTGGCCATATCAATGATAATGGATTTTCTTTGTTGAGTAAGTAGAATTTGCTGAATGGGTACAAAAGTCAAGTCTTAAATTTTTGTGAGCATTGTGTGTTTGGTAAACAGACAAGGGTAAAGTTCATTAAGAAGGCCGAGCACAAGAGCACAAGACCAGAGACAAGTTAGATTATATACACTCTGACTTGTGGGGTCAAAATAGAGTTCCCTCCAAGAGTGGTGCCAGGTATTTTATGGCTTTGATTGATGATTACTCAAGGATGACGTGGGTGTATTTTCTGAAAACAAAAGATGAGGCATTTTCGACATTTGTTAAATAGAAGACGATGGTTGAGAGACAGACGAAAAGAAAAGTTAAGCGTCTTCGAACTGACAATGGTTTGGAATTTTGCAATTCTGAGTTCGATAATTTCTGCAGCAGGGAGGGCATAGTGAGACACCGCACTTGTGTCGGAACACCACAACAAAATGGTGTTGCAGAACGTATGAATAAAACGCCTTGTGATAGGGCACGAACCATGCTTTCACACTCATGTGTTAGCAAAGATTTTTGGGCTGAAGCAATCAATACAACAAGTTATTTGGTCAACAGATCTCCATCCACAACTATTGAGTTCAAAACTCCTTTTGAGGTATGGTCCGGTTCGTCTGCTGATTATTAAAATTTAAGGATATTTGGTTGTCCTGCTTATGCTCATGTGAGGGATAGAAAACTTGAGCCGAGAGCAAAGAAGTGCATATTTCTAGGGTATGCAACTGGAGTGAAAGGTTATAGGTTGTGGTTCACAGATCAAAAGACTCTGGGGCTAATTATCAGTAGGGATGTAACATTCAATGAATTTGTCTCACTAGACAGTTAGAGGGAGAAGGCAATAGCAGAAACAGATCGTGGTGTCAGTGACCGCATAGAGCTAGAAATTGAATCTCCACTAGCTCAGCCCAGTAGTTCTAAAGTAGAGGAAGTGGAGGAGGTGCAAAATATTGATCAAGATGATAATGTTGATGGACATTCACAACAACCCTATAGCATTGCAACAGGAAGAGAGAAGAGAGTGATCAATCCACCACAAAGGTTTGTAAACGTAGCTGATGGTAATTTTCTTGGATATGCTAATTTTGTGGAGTTTGCTTTGTCTGTTGCAGAGACCATTGATGTGCTTGAGCCTAATAGCTATAAAGAAGCTATTTCTAGTCCAGAAGCAGATCAGTGGGTTGGTGCTATAAGTGAAGAGATTAAGTCTCTTCATAAGAATTAGACATGGAAGCTTGTTCCATTGCCAAAGGAACAGAAGGTACTAGGCTGCAAATGGATTTTCAAAAGAAAAGAGGGCAATCCAGGGGTTGAAACATCAAGGTACAATGCAAGATTAGTAGCTAAAGATTTTACACAGAGGGAGGGGATAGATTACAATGAAGTGTTCTCTCCAGTGGTAAAGCATAGCTCTATCAGGATCTTACTGGCTTTGGTGGCTCTTCATGGCTTAGAACTAGAGCAGTTAGATGTGAACATTGCATTCTTGCATGGTGAGTTGGATGAGTAGATTTATATAAGGGTGTCTAACAGGTGGGTCGGGCCGGGCTGGGTAGGCAAAATTTGGAATCATACGGGTTGGGAACCGGGCCAGTTACGAGTTAGGGCTTATCGGGTTTAACGGGTTCGGGTTCATCCGGGTAAAAAATGAACCGTAAGGGTTACGGGTACAAGGGGCCGGGCCGGGTTAGTGTAATTTTTAATTTTTTTTTGTATTTTATATAACTATTGTAAGTTATATTAATATAAAGAAAAAATATAAAGAATACAATGAAGATGGGAAAAAAATGCACTTATAAATTGCAAGTGCTACAGTTATTTTAAAATTACAAAATTGAAGTTTGCATTTAACAAGTAAATTAACGAAAAAAGAGTAAAACTAAATTTTCATGCATAATAATACTTCAAATTATTCTAACAAACTAAAACATTAAGCATAAATACATCTAATAATTTTAAAATAACACAAATTATCTCAAATCAAGTTAAATACGGATTTCTAGAGGACGTTCAAGACAACTCTTCATATGCCTCCTTAAAGAGCTTGTGCCACACTTTGGACGAAGATTTAAGACTCGACCACAGTTCTTGCACTTTACTTTCTGAACTTCNTCAGTAGGATGTAACATTCAATGAATTTGTCTCACTAGACAGTTAGAGGGAGAAGGCA